ACGTCATCAGTGATGATGACGATGACGATGCGGATGCCGGTGACGTCATCAGTGATGATGACGATGACGATGTGGATGCCGGTGACGTCATCAGTGATGATGACGATGACGATGTGGATGCCGGTGACGTCATCAGTGATGATGACGTTGACGATGTGGATGCCGGTGACGTTACCGACATCCGCATCGTCATCGTCATCATCACTGATGACGTCATCAGTGACGTCACTGATGTCGTCACCGGCATCCGCATCGTCATCGTCATCATCACTGATGACGTCGTCAGCGACGTCACTGATGACGTCACCGACATTCGCATCGTCATCGTCATCATCACTGGTGAAGTCATCAGTGACGTCACTAATGACGTCATCAGTGACGTCAGTGATGACATCATCGGCATTGGGGGTCACGTGACCCCCCCTGGTTAGTCTAACCCCCCCCCCCCAGCGCCCTTCCCTCCTCCTCAAGAGCTGCGCTCCAATTCGGCGTTACAGGGAGTTGTAAGCGGCTTTCACTTTTTTATGTAGAATGCCTCTATAATCTCTCTTTCCGTTTTTCCTTTGCCTTTCTTAAAAACTTTGTGCCAGTTAGGTCAGGTTTACATCCACATCGCCTACACTGGTCAGCGAGATGGCCCCCCGCGTTGTTGCGCACACACAAATTATGTTCACGTGCTCTATCATTGAAGCAGCGCCCAGTCTGCCCAATGTAGACTCTGCCACTAGTTGTGGCAGAGTCTACATTGGGTGTACGCAGGCTCTCCTCCTCCCCCATTTCCAGGGAGAGGAGGAGAGCCCGCGCACACTCAAAATGGGAGAGGGGACGCGGGCCTGTACCTTCCACTGCATTGACAAGAAAAGTTGTCGCGCAGTATAGTAAAGTATATGGTTTCGATTTCTTATCCCTATCTATCTCTCTTCTTACATTTACTTCCTCCCAGTCCCTCTCCTTACCCTCATACTGTGCTCTCTCCCCCCCCCCCCCCCATCTGCCTCCCATCCCCTTCCCTGAATGGATGCAGGTTATCGCCCGTTACCCTTTGTAACGGGCGATAACCTGCGCCCCCTAGCCTAAGTCGAAAAAGACAAACGTTTGATATCTCCCGCCGTTCTAAGCCAATTTTCTGCCCTAATTATCACCAGACGGTGTGGGATATCACCAATATAACCCTTTTGGTCGACAGGGAAAAAAAACTAGAAACATCACCCCCGCCTCGTTCCCCCGGCGAGGGAGATGACAATTTTTTTCTGGTCACCTTGTTGTCGTTGACGCAGCACCAGACCAACTGAGAGACAAGGTTGAGACTTTCAGCCGGAGCCACGGGGGAGGGATTCCTAATATCCTCTGTCCCGCCTGTCCCCAGCTGTGCTAGTTAGTTGTGCGTAATTCAATTTTCTCTAGATAATTTACACCAATCTTCTAATTGCCTATTTGTGACTGTAATCCTTTTCTCTTCTGTCCTTCCATCGTCGCCAGCAAAACCCAGGGCCTCGGCCAAATCGCTTACTCCTTCGGGGACTGCAGGGCGAAGCCCCGTACACTTTAAAACCAGGTACTCTAGAGCCCACTCTTATTGTGGCAGGCGCAGATAATGTGTATGTCTCCTGAAAATTAGCCCTATACGTCCTCGTCTTCAAAACTATCAAAACTACCGTTCTCAACTCAAAAAGTAAAAATCTTCCCCGTGAATTGTCAAACACATTTTTTTTTTAATCCTGTTTCTGGGACTTGTAAACGGTTAGAACTGAATTTTACTGTATTCTTACTTCCCACATTTATTTTTCTTCCTCATTCTCTCCCTTTTCCACTGAAGTAGACTGCTTACCCCCATCGCTAGTGTGTGGGTATTTAAATGTCAGCTCTCAGGTTCGGTTTGTCAATTTTGTATCAAAACTTTTCATGTATAAATACTTAAATACCTTCTGCGCTCACCGCGTATCATTAATTTTGGTCAACTTTCGTTCAAATTTCAACTTATAATTGCCTCCTTGCTCTCAAAAGACTACCAGCTTATGTCTTCCTGTACTGCCTCATTTTATGTCTGCCTGCGCTTCTTTTTCGAGTTTCTAATCCTGATTGAACCTCTGATTCCATGCACAGTACCCTATTGCCAAAAGACAGTGCTGGTACCATCGCTCCTTTCCTTATGCCTCTGGCCACTTCGTATCTATTATAATTCCATAACTTCTTGAGCTTCATAATAGATTAATTTCTTTTCTTTTTTCTAATTATATTCTCCTCGTGTTCTTTTAAGTATTTCCTTCCCTCAATAAGCCAGATTCCCAGATATTTGTATTTTCCTACATGGTCTTATAATCTCATGCATCCGCAGGCGTTCCCTCTTTTCGTCATTAAACACCATTACACTACACCCGTCACGACTAAATCTCATGTCCAAGGTGTCCCCTTCTTCTCCACATATTCCAGCTAGTTCTTGTAATGTATCGTAATTATCTGCCATAAGTACTATCATGTCATCCGCATACAATAGTCCTGGTATTACCTGTATTACATTTTTCTCTCCTTCATATATCTCACATCAAAAGCTAGGTTGCTTTGCCCAGATTTCTTTTCCATTTCACCGAGATATATCAGGAAGAGTAGATGTGACAGTGCACAGCCCTGCCTGTGCCTTTTTTTATCGCTGTGGGATGTGTAGCACCTTATTGTCTGTGCACACCTAATGAAAGCTGAACAAAATTGCATCTAAATTATACTCCTTCAGCTGATCCCAGAGTTTTTCCTGCCTCACATTATCGTACCCTCTCTTGATATCCAATTAAGCTAACCATAAAGGAGTTTGGTTCTTCATTGCAATTTCTTTACATTGTGTGATGCAGATTAAGTTATCTTCCAGTCTTCTGTCTCTTCGGAATCCCTCTTGGAGCTCACCCAGTATTTGCATATCTTCTGCGCATTCCTCCATTTTCTGCTTTACTATCTGCATAGCTAATCTGTATAGAAATTAAGTTACCGCTTTAGGAAAATATGACTTAATGTTGTCTTTGTTTCCTTTGCCTTTATATATTAGTATAATTTTACTTAGTTTCAATCATTAGATACCTCTCTTCCTTTAGTTATTTCATTAATCACTAGCCGTAACTTCAATTTGCTTGTTTATCCTAGTGTCTTTATGAGTTCTATGGGTATGTCGTCTGGGCCTGTTGCTGTACCTGCTAGAAATTTACTGTCTGTCTTGTCTCATTTTCTTGTGGTTGTCTTCATTGTTACACAATCCTGCTCCTCCTCTACACGACTGCTGCCACTTTTTGTCCTTCCCTCCCTCTACCCCTTCCCCATCCATCCTCCCTCCCTGGTCACATAACTCACTAATTAAATTGCCCAAAAGTTGATAAAAAGATTGTATCTTCAGTCCCGAAACGACTGTCTCGTGTCTTCCTCAGAATTGAAACTTCGCTGCCGCTCGTTTAAGGCTGTTTCACACAGCTGCGACTGCGTACAACCAATGTGAGTTAACACCTCTTAAAATCTCTTACGACGAGAGAACACACTGGCGCCATCTATCGGGCAGCTGTTGAACACTTGGCGGTTTTGTATATTTCCTACTCTTTTTGAACATAATTCTTTCTTTCTTGGGTTTAAAAACTTGTGCTAATGTTATAAACGACTATTTATTGATAATACGTATATTTGATCTCGATATTAAAGCAAAACCCTCGCTGTAGTAAAACGCAGTTCCAGAGTTACCTTACAGATGGCGCCAGCGTGCCGGCGTGTTCTTTTGTCGTAAGATATCACAAGAATTATATTGTAAGTTAAGCGGGTGAATGCGGGCCTTTAGAAAATACCGCGCCGCTTAATTCGTGACGCCACCCATAAAAACACGCGAGGTTAACATTTTATTTCGACGAACCATTAGAGAGTTTTAGTAGATCGTTCCGATACCTCCGATAGCCCCGATAACGATACTGTGCATGCGCAAGGGAGGCGGTGGCGGAGTACCCGGTATCGTTGTCGGAGTCATGGGAACGATCTACTAAAACTCTCTATTTTCCAATGAACCGGTAACGGTCACGTGAGATGATGGTTTTGTTCCCGTTCTGGTTCAACATTAAATGTATATCATCGGTTTCGGTTTTGTTTCGGTTCGGTCAAAAATAATGGGTTTTCTCCGGTTTTCGGTTCGGGTCCGGGTTAGGCTCGACACGCTGTTTTAAATCAACACTATCAAAGTTGACATTTTTACGTTACTTTTACTTCTGTCATTGAAAGCGGAATTATTCTAACTAAAGACGTCACAGTGAGCGACTGGCCTCTGGCCAATCGTGGAACGCCAACCACGTCAGCAGAAAGGAGGGGCACGTTATCGATGCAGCTAGCTATTTTCGGCGATTGCACCAGGCCCAAGGAACACGAACGGCTAAACCCGCTGCTCCCGCATGGCTGGGAAAGCTTTACGTTTCGGTGACATGCTATGTTACGACCTACGTGATTTCTAATTTAGTTTTTGATAAAAGGAGAAAGGCAAAGTTGGGCTATTGTTATTTTACGATAACAAACTAAAAGAAAAACAAATTACTCTTCTGTGTTCTATGATCATTATTCGGGTAGCTCTTTAAACACGAGGAAAAAATATGTTGTGATCTATCAAAGAAAAATTAACAACCTTCCAGTGTTTGAAAAGAGATTTTTTTTTTTATATGAGATGAAATTCCGAAAGATCTTACTGAGGAGGTCCTATTAGTTCTGAACTATTGAGTGACAATTTGGTTGATCGTTAATTTGTAAGTCAAAGTAAATAACTTCCCAGACACGGTAGACTATTTGAGGGCAGAGTGTGTACAAATATGTTTATGAGCTGATAAGCGTGGGTCGTATGAGGTGATGGGTCATCACAACACTTACAAATATCTATTATTTTGATTATTCCGCGTCATTGTCAAATACAACCAGCTCAATGAGATATTGAAGTCCAATTGTTCTAATTTGCGCGGCTTCTGCACTGCAAGCAGAATTTAATATAATCTTCCACTCACCAACGCCGGTGACAGTTGGTTTACAAACTGCAAACAGCACAAACATTGCCACGATCAGCCTTGTGGCTCTCATAATAAAGAATAAGAAACCGGTGTTCTTCATACTGTCCTCCACCTAGAATAGAAACATGCGGATCAAATTGATGTTTCCAGATTAAAAAAAAAAGTATCCAAATAAATCCGATATCAAGAAATTCGACTTTTTCGACATTTGTCTTCCTTTCTGGAAGGATCTAAGACGCCAAGGGACAGCACAAAAAAAAATAAGACGAACGGACTGTGCGCTCGCTTAAAACATGAATGATAATTAAAACACCAAATAAATTTCAAACCGGAATGCCCAATGATCTCTCATCAAAGACACTCTCGAAACAACCCCAGGTATCCTAACTCGAATCAATACAAGGCGATCGTAGGAGGACTTAGATATGTAGCTTCATCGCTATAGGTTTTGGTTTTGAAGTTATAAAGTTTTGAGGTTTGAAGCTTTTTGCTTGTTTTCGTAAGTTTAGTTTGCATATAACTTTTAAAATAAAGCGAATTTCGAGAAAAGGAAAGTTTCACTAAGTTACTATGTTCAGTGCGTTCAGGTTCGGTGCAAAATAAAGAGCAGTCAAAAATTCGTTGCAGGGCCCCTCCTTCAAGCAAGCTGAGAATGCAGTCAATGCCGCAAGCACGAAAGCTCGAGGTCGCTGCTTTAGAGCGTTCTTCCACAGGACGAGCGCACGCGCAGGAAATGCATATCTCAAAGCCAGAGGCGCGGGCAAGATCACGCTTATAACTTTGGCTGCAGTGTCAGCTTAAGCGTTCTGTTTAAATCCACGTGCCGTCGGGCTCGTGCGAACAAGTAGCGTTGTCGACTTCGTGCAGGGTCACGGCGCGTTTATTTTGCGTGATTACTTTATTTGGTTTAGGGAAAGCGGAAAAACGATTAGCACCGTGACGATACACTTTGCAGGCTGCCTTATCGGCTCCATCGACTCGTAGTGTCGGCTGTGGTGGGCCTTAAATTGAAACAGAGTATAGTGGGTTGTTCCATTTCACCCGAAAAAAAACAAACTAATTGAACCACTAAGAAATTGGTTAAGATTGTTTTGACTAAACCAGTCAGTGAGGAAAGCTGAAATAGCGCTAGAAAAACTTTATATTAATCTGCTTTTTCGGAATTTTTTTTCCTCCTTTCCCTCTAAAAAGTACGCTGGACACCTTATTTCTTATTTCGCGCAAATTCACCGGTTACAGCCGATTCACACGACGAACCGAATCGCGATTTTCGTCCGCGGACCGTGTACCACGTGACCGGTATGTCACCGATTCCTGCGTTCCGCGCCTCGTCCGCGGACGCGCGGACTGATAAAGTTGGGAGCCTTTTCACTAGCGAATTTCGGGTGGGAGATGGACTTGAAAAGCATTTAGTCTAACAGCATAAAAAAAAATGGCGGTTTACTTTTTGACAATTAAAACAAAACCGGTGCATCCCTTTGTTTTGTGCGTTCGCTGGTTGGTTTTGTCGCTCGACTCTTGATTTTACGCGTCGAAGAAACTGCAAAAACTTTGTCCGGCTGACGCGACGCAGCTTCCGGTACTCCTCTGGGTCCGTGTCAAGAAGCGCCCGTCGAAACTCGCCTAGCACGCCGCGATAATTCTTGTACGTCCGATCGGGCTTTCAACGAGCAAGACATTTCTCGTGGCTGTGGTGGGCTTGAGCGTTGTGCACGAGCGCGGAGCGCGTGAAGGCATCTCCAAACGGCCCTCCGTGAGCGCAGAACTTCGTCACTTCTACGCCGAAACCTTCTCGAGCAGGACCATGCCTGTGTCACTGTTATGCCTTGGATTAGTAAAGCTAGTGGTGCTTCGCACGAAGCCTAATACTGAGTTTTGCTTCGATCTGTACGTAACAGGGCGTGCGATTCTTTATCGCAGTAGCAAACGTTCATTTCTCTCTTGGATGACGGTGCCACGGTGCGATGTAGAAGTTTCGCGGGACTGTGGGCTGGCGAACAGGTTCGGTCCGTCCTCGTTGGCGTCTGCTCGCCGTCTCCCTCGTGTGGATGCGCTTGGGAGACGGACGAACCGCGGAATATGTCGTCATATGATCAATCCGTCCGCGGATCAGCCCGTCGTGAAATTCGAACATTAATGACATGTTTGCTACTTCGTTCGCTTAGTTTTCTTTCTTACTTGATCGCTTTATTAAATGCGTCCTACGTAACAAACTATTTATGGCAAATCGCTAGGCAATTGTGTCTATACGAGAAACGTCCTTTCATCACAAACGTTTGGCGATACTCTTTTTCTCCAGTCGCCAGACACCTACTTTCACGGCGCTCTTCGTCAGATAGTTTAATGCGTACCATCCGTACACTTCATCGCTGCTCTCTGAATGAAGCGATACAACGGCAAATTTTGCTGATAAACCTGGCAATATTCCACAGTCTTCCTTACTCTCGAGCTCCTCTCCCTCGGTGCTCTCAGGTGGTCAAGCTCCTCCTCGCCTACCCCACTGGTCACATGACCTCCCCGTTAACCAATCAGCGTCGAGCACCCAACCAATCGGTGTCGAACCTCGCGGTCGCGTGTTTGTCCAGGCTTCACCAAATGCCGAACACCTAGCCAATGAACGTTTCAGTGTAAAGAGTCGAAGAGCTGGATTGATGCCGTCACGCGAAGAATTCCGAGGCGGGAAACAGAGTGGACACAACTGTTCTGTCACTGCTCGACTAAAACTGGCGTTCCCACTAACTGAACATCAGTCTCAGCCGAACGCTGCCTCAGCACCCGGGTCCAATGTGAGCATCCTAAGGTGATGCTGAAAATTGCGCATTATTACTTCGTAACAACTCCTGGCTCAATCGAAAACAAAATTATAATTTCCTTTTCATCACCTCAATCTTCTTAAAGAGCACACGTCGGGAAAAAAGAGTATATATATCTTAATTAAACGCCTTTTTCTTCTAGAACTTTTAAAGTGAGGACTGACCATGATTTGAGAAAGCTTGAAGATCTTGCTCAACTTACAAATTGCCTTCCAGACAGCTGAAACTCTGGAGGTTGCTCGCTGGGCAAAGTGAGATTTTGTAGTGATTCACATCCTCCTTTTATAACACCAAAGTCAGTTGCCTCAATGTCGTCACAATTACTGACAACGTAATAAAATTATCAAACCAAAAAAAAATTCTATCTCGTTTTTTTTTTTATGAAGACAGATGAAACCGCGCCACTAGCAGGCTGCAAGCTAGCACATCAAAAGCTTTTCTTAAAGCGCGTCGTTTTTTTTTTTTTTTTTAGCTCTTTACTGAATAAGATTCGCGCGTTTAATGTTCACCTCCTACACCCACTCAATCACGGAATGTGCGAGATCTACACGGCTTTATGACACGTGGCATCAACAGCCAACGAAGGCAGACGAAATAAAGACACAAAGGTAACAAGGTACAAGGCGGGAGAGATCGAGACAAACATATATCTTCATTAAACCAAAAAAGTAGATGTGAATATTTTTACCGCTGTAAGGGCCAGCACCATCTAATCTATATTGCCGCGTGCGTGGCGGAGGGGCAACACACTCTGCTACCCCGCGAATGAACGCGGTGCCAACACCGATCGACACAGCTATTTCTATTAAAATTTATTACTCTTCCGGAACGTTCCAGTGGATTATCGGCTGCCACCGTGTGTTCTGGTTCGGAACATTCATGAAATAACCACGTGTATTATATCCGCAGATACAGGCTGCTTCGGAACAGTCGCACTTCTGACGCAAGACACGTTGTACCTAGTCTTTAAGTTGGTTGGCACAAGCTCGCGTAATTAAACGTTTACTTTTGATTTTACAATCGGCTGCCTTATTAACCTTGACAATATCATAAATTAAAATTATGAGCAATATATACCAATAACACAATCGAAGCTTATAGTCATACACACTGTGCGGTGTATCAAAGTCCACCGTGGCAATACGACCACCTTATCGGGCAGGAAGGAACCGTCCCAAGACCAAGCACCCGACCTCAATACCAGGAGGTGATCATGTCACGCGGTCGTTCAACCGACAGCCCCCGAAACAGTGCCCTTAAAGGTGTATTCACACGTCAGACAAATTAAGGGAACCAGACCCGCGGACCAGGGAAATGTGCGTATCACGTGACCTTGACCTTATTACGGAAAAATCAACAGGTCCGCGATTAATCCGCGGAGCTAGAGTGCACTAGAAGGTACGAGGTAGAAGGTGCGACGAGCTATAGGCACCGCTCACGCTTTCAGTTGTACCTCAAAATGTGGAAAGCGATGAGGTGGAACCAAGCCACTTTGATCGCAGCGCCACCTTCGCTGCCATCAAGCAACGACTCAGGTCAAGGTCGTATTGTATTTTTTTTTTTTTTTACAGTCTTGTGCGAATAGTGGATTTTGAGTTCGAAGCGATTTCGAAGCGAATAGTGGTTTTGGTCGAATATTTTCGATTTGAATATCGAATAGTTTTTCTACACCATTCACTACTATTGCATAATGCTTAGACAAAAACCCAGCTAAACCTGTGAAGGTTGTACTACTTGTTCATTTATAAGCTAAGCATAATCTATCTATATTTATGAACTGTGGCCTCAGGTCTGATGTCTTGGGATGACAAGTAAACGACGGATTTGACATAAAATGAATCCTATAAAGATGGCCAACTATTCCAATTAAGTGAATTTACAAATCTTGCTATATAAAATATTCTTTCTTTGATCTCGAGTTAAAAAAGTATGAATCGCGCATGATGAACACATGTTGTGAAAGCATATCTACATAACATAGTATACTCTTGCATAAAAGTTTTATTTTGAAACTTTTACTACAATGTAGATATACACATTCACAAAGTTTCCATTTATTTTCAAATACAGTTGGCACGGGTGCACCACCCCGCTTTGGATGTATGTTTTTCTTCCAAGCACGCAATTACCATATTGTTCATCGCGGTGGGTAATTCCGTTAAGTTCGCTTCTTACCGAGCAGAGATGTAATGCAGAGAAGCAACACCCGGAAAGCTCACTTTTATAGGTTTGGCTTCTCCGCAGCGCACCGAAGCTTGGTAAGAAGCGCACTCAAAGAGGCTAACCCGCCGCAATCAACACTTCGAAGTACGCGAATAGTGAAGTTTTTTTCGAAGCGAAAATCGAATAGTGTATTATTCGGAACTACTATTTGAAATTTCGAATATTCTCACAACTTTATATTTTTTTTAATTTTGACGTCAGAGGGACCGTCAAAGCACCACGACACCACGACGTCATCGTCGACGCCGTTACGCGACGCCAAGATGCTGTCGTAAGGCTGTCGTGACATCGCATCGCGTCGAGGACGACGCCACTTCGCGACCTTAAGTCGCCGTTTTAACGCGGTCGTGACGTCGCGTTGAGGACGGCGCCGTTACGCAACATCAAGTCGCCGTTGTGATGCGATCATGACATCGCGTCGCGTTAAGGACGACGCCGTTACGCGACATCAAGTCTCCGTTGTAACGCGGTTATGACGTCGCGCGCCACATCGAGGACGACGTGGACGTGGTCGTCGATGCCGGCGTTGAAGTCGACGCCCCACGCAACGTCAAACATCGCTATGACGTCACGTTAACGTCGTACTGAAGTCATCGTGAACGTCAACGTCACGACGAAGCCTTGACGGCGTGTAAAGTCGTCGCCTTCGCCAGCATCAACGTCGACGCGCAGTCACGACGAAGTCATGACGTCGTGTAACGTCGTCAACGATGACATCGACGTCGCGAAGCTGTCGGGACGTCTTCGTAACGTCGAGTTGCGTCATGTCGACAACGACGTCAACGAACTGACACCAAGCGTCCTTATGACATTGCATTGACAAGGACGCCGTCATCTTGACGTCCCGTGACGTTGCCGTCGTCGTCATCAGCGTCAACGTTGACATCTTCGTCGTTGTCAACGCAATATTACATCAGAACGCAGCCTTGATGTCGTGTAACGCACTTTGCACTTTGTCGCATGGCGTTGTGACAAGTGAGGTCCCGGTGAATTTATGTGCGTGACGCCTGGCGTCTAAGTTGTATGAAAAATATAGTCCGGCGTTCTATCGTGTATATCCAGTGTGCCGGTCAAGCTTGGCGTTGGAACGAAACGCGTTTTTTCATAAAAAGTGGCTTGGATTAGCCGTTTTCTTTTTTTTTTTCACATCCGGAGGTACCAAAATAGCTCTCCGGTGGCCCCACTCGTTCCTTCTAGTACACTCTAGCGGAGCTGGATCTAAAGCCCATGGTTACCGTGCACCAAAGTGTAAGGACTGCGAGTCCGGGATTGTAGTTTAGGTTGCTGATTTCGCTGCACGTGGTAGCGAACAAGATTAGCACCTCTTAAAGTTATGACCTTGCGCCCAAGGCTTTCCGCTGCACCCCAAGGCAGCGCACGTGACGCTCGATTTGCATCCTGTCAACGTTTGGCCAATCTGGCGGTGAAGAAGACAAAGATGAAGGGCCCCAGCGACGAAACGGCGTTCTTTCAAATAAACCGATCCCACCAGCCAGTTTGACTACGCCCCCGCTGCCGCAATGCATCGACGGAACTTTAGTCTTTCTGCATGTGCGACAACCGCGCTGGAGCTCTGCGCATATGGAGCACGAGACAGCACGAGCCCTCTCGTGCACTGCCGTTTGCCTCCTGTGAACTAAAGTTATGGCGGCGTCACGCATGCGCCGAACGCTTGGTGAATTCGGTCTATTTTATTCATGGAATAATTTCTTCAACTGCAGTGCCTCCGATACGCCCAGTATCGAAACAACAGCAAAAAGTGCCCACACTGGCCTCAGCGAAGAACTGCAGTGGCTACTTCTGCCGTATGGGCCTAAAGGCCCGTTCACACTCTTGCGACTGCTTGCGACCTCTTAAACCTGAGTTCCTTAAAACTTCTTAAACCAGAGAACACACTGGCGCCATCTATTGGGAAGCAGTGTAAACTCGGCGGTCCGGCATATTTTTTTTTTTTTTATTTCTCGCGCAATATCCTTTCTTTTTTGGCTCGAAAAACTTTTGTCAATGTTATAAACGAGCCTTTCTATGGGTATTGCGCACATTTGACCTCGGAAATCCCGCAAAACCTTCGCTTTTGTGAAATGCAGTTCTAGGGTCACCGCATAAATGGCGCCACAATGTCAGTGTGTCCCCTCATTCTAGAAACATTTAAGAAGTTGTAAGAGATCTCGTCTCTCTCAGTCGTACTCGGTCGCAAGAGTGTGAACGGGCCTTTAGAAGGCAGGTGAGACCATTGAACGCTGACTGAGTCATGTGAATCGCGCAGTTCTATTTGCCCGGTTATATTTGTCTCATGTTTCAGAAGAAGTAAAACGTTGTGTTAAAAAAAAGTGAAAGCTGCTTACAACTCCCTGTAACGCCGAATTAGAGCGCAGCTCTTGAGGAGGAGGAGGGAAGGGCACTGGGGGGGGGGGGGTTAAACTAACCAGGGGGGGTCACGTGACCTTGGGGGGTCACGTGACCTTGGGGGTCACGTGACCCCCAATGCCGATGATGTCATCACTGACGTCATCAGTGACGATGACGATGCGGGTACCGATGACGTCATTAGTGACGTCACTGAAGACTTCACCAGTGATGACGATGACGATGCGAATGTCGGTGACGTCATCAGTGACGTCGCTGATGACGTCATCAGTGATGATTACGATGACGATGCGGATGTCGGTAACGTCATCAGCGATGATGACGATGCGGATGCCGGTGACGTCATCAGTGATGATGACGATGACGATGCGGATGCCGGTGACGTCATCAGTGACGATGACGATGTGGATGCCGGTGACGACATCAGTGACGTCACTGATGACGTCATCAGTGATGATGACGATGACGATGCGGATGTCGGTAACGTCATCAGTGATGACGATGACGATGCGGATGCCTGTGACGTCATCAGTGATGATGACAATGGCGATGTGGATGCCGGTGACGTCATCAGTGATGATGACGATGTGGATGCCGGTGACGTCATCAGTGATGATGACGATGACGATGTGGATGTCGGTGACGTCATCAGTCACG